GTCAGCAAATTAGACTGACATGCGGCGTACGTGCCCCAACTAGCCGATGAGGAGGATCTCCGCGAGGAGGATGAATGCCTCCTCTGACGCTCCAGCAGAGAAAGCCAAACCAGGCTGTGAGATGGTTTGGCATGGGATGAGCTGGGATGGGATGGAATTGCTGTGGAACCGAATGCTCAGGGATGGGACATGGGATGGGATGGGTGAATGTCTCCGCGTGCGGACGGACAATGCGCCGTGTCATCTTCCAGTTCGACAACGGAGTTGAACCGTTGGCATTTCGTGCGACAAAACTCTGAAAATTCTCACTGCCCGGAAAAGGTTTTTCTGCACTCTCGGAGATTCGTTTGGATTGTTTTCTGTTGTTCATCATCTGGCAGACACATTTCCCAAATGCGCAGAAAATTCTTACACAATTACGCTGATACCTTTGGCTGGGTTTTCGTTTCGGCCGCACACGCAGCATGACAAAAACAAAAAGAAAACTCAATTCTCATTCCGGAGGTTCAGACGCAAATCTCTTCTGGATGCGGCTGGATGGTCAGCAGATTTGGGTCACTTGGCTTGGGTCAGGCAACGGTTACGAAACAATTGCAGACAATTAGCCGACAGCCACGCTAAACTGGTCCCCAGTTTTGTGCAGATTATCAACGAGAGTCGCTGACGACTTTGTCGTCGACTCCCGGCAATTTATACAACAATTTGTCTAACTGATTTTGTAATTTATGCCACCCAGCCAAAGAGTCACCAGAAGACAGGAAAAACTTTCGCTTGGATGTCGCAGCCGACTCATAAAACTGCCTTTGAATTGAAAAGCGGCCAATAAAGATCGAACAATTGATGTGCGCCTGGCCGGCGAATCTCTGCGTGGCATTCGCCTTGGCGAACAAAGGCCATTTGTTTCCATTTTCTCGCCCTGCGGCTGCCATTGATATTTCAAGCAATGCAGCGTAAACGGAATCGAGCCAATCCCAAACTCAAACCGAAACCCCTTGACAATCTTCCAGCATGTATTCACTTGGAATTTGAACAAAACGTCGCTATTTGCATGGCTTATAGATTTTTCACTTTCCTTTCTTCGACTGACAAGTTTCTTGGCTACGTGCCGAGTCCAACGAAAGGGTTCCCGAGGGTCTTTTCTCATTTCAAGAACTGTTACAGCATCAGCCGCCAAGAAGCTCATCAATATGCTGGCCAGCTAGATCTTTTGCTTATGAGTGATCTACGTGGTCGAGTTCATTTACAGACCAGTTAAACACAAACTGAGCAGCGCGACTGGAGCGGCATTTAAATGAGGCCAAAAGACCAACAATAAATTATGGAAAATTCATCTGATGTGATGTGGCTTGCATTGAAGGCGGAGCCCGACCTCCCAAACTTCTAATGATGAATTTATTGCTCTTCATTATAATGTATGAGCATTTCTGTGAGAAGTTCCCCATTTGAGTTATTTGTTGTCAATATACAAACAGTATTTGTGCTGTCGGAAAGGGTAACCATGTCTTTATTTGTTTTTTGTAACGCTGAAATTGGCATTTTAAACGGGAGACTGTGTTAGATTTCTTTTCGAAAATCGGTACTACCGTTGCATTCTTCTTATAAGTATGTAACAATCTTTAATGAAAAGCGAAGAACATTTTTTACTGTCGGTGCGATTTTTAAAGCCACAAGTATGTCGCTAAGTCTTCTGTTTCCTCAGACATATCTCCACTTCTTTCTTGTTTTGTTATTGGCGAAATCCAGTCGGAGTTGCCAAATCTTTTCTCCACGTCGGCTGGGGTATCTACGTCCTTTTCATTATTTGTAGGTGTCTATTGGGTCAGACAAAATGCATTGGCAATATCACAAAGTAATGAGATATGCTCCCCTGATATATGGCAGGCACTTTGGGCTGACAAAATGAGCAGCCGGGCCATAAATATGCCATCCGACAGCCTCTGAGCATTGGGCATCTGGGATTTGAGTCGAAGAGTGAGGAGTTTCGCTGTTGCAAAGTGATTTTCTCGCACTTATTTTCCATTCTGTGCACTGGCAACTTGATAAATTAACGCTCTGCACATGCCATTTGTTTATTTGCCTAAATAAATCGCCAGCAAACCTGAATGCGAGCTGGAATCTGAATTTGAATTTGGGTCCAATGTGCAGCAAAAAGGCGCACCGCTTTTGGATAGGTGGAAAATGGGGAAAATGTATAGCGAGGATCCGCCCCACCTCCACCCCCTGCAGTCCCCGAAACCATTCGAACATTTGTGAGCTGTGCACACAGTCAATTTATGTAGCCCGGTGCGGGGAATCCGTGGCTCTGCGACTCGGATTCGGATTCGGATTCGGATTCGGATTCGGACCTGGACTTCGACTGCAACTTTGTTTATTGCCCCACTAAGGCGACTGACCCACAACATTAAATTGTAATTTGAGTGGGGCAAAGCGAACATTTTTACTGCGAATTTCGCCAGCCTCTCGGCTCGGCTTGTTCTTGCTCATGTAAGTCAGTGGAGTCAACAAGAAATCGAGTAATTAGAATTTCCATCTGTGACTCTTCACACCCCAGTGTTGTGGCCCGCTTTTGTGCAATTCTTTTGCCAGGAGAACGGTACTGCCATTGGCACGCGACTCATTCCCGCCGATTCGCTAATGACTCCGCGGCCATGTCATTGACCAGGCTCACCAGACTTACCAGAACTGGCGACGGCAGCAGGCATGCAAATCGATTTGCAGGCGGACAATTGCATAATCGTTGATTAGAGGAGTGCGCTGAAGAAAACACTGAAACAATAATCAATGTAAAAAGACCACCAATCCATGCTTTGGAGTAGATATTGGCAAATCTTCTATAGAACAGGAAGCATTAATCAAGATACCTATGTCTACAAGTATGCAAACCCATTTACTAAATTGCAAATGTTCTATTTATTTTTGTAATACTAAATTATTTAAGAAAAGTTTACCTTACACTTGCAAACTTTTTTCGCACTGTGCACACAAGGCATTTTCCGCCAGCTCGAAGTGAAAAATCAATGCTAAATTCGAATTTGATTAGTGCGGAAATCAATCGCGGTCCGTGGAATACTGCGCACATATCCGAGCTGTAAGCTGAACTTCGTGCTTTAACGCACATTACACGTAATGCATTTTCCATGCTGCCGTTCGCGGAGCAGAAGACGAGAAAGAACCGCAATGCCACTAACGATACAACCACCGACTGGCCACTTGATGCTCCCAAATCAATCTTGGCCCAATCTAGAGCGTTTCGGGTATTGCCTTCGCGTGCGTGATCCCAGAGAACGGTGTTATTTTTTAATTCTTATCAATTATGCCTTCTACCCCGTTCAATTTGGAGTTTGGAGTTGGCTCTGCCGGCGGAGTGAGTTGCTAATGCCAAGCAGTTGCACTTCCGTCAGGCCATTGTCCCCTGCAATTCATAAAGATTATGAGGCAGGGGCCACGAAAACTGGCTACCCACCCAGATTGCCGGTCCCCAAGGGCCATCTGTTGACATTGCCGCGGACATTGTCAAGCCGAGCACTTTATTTGCTGCGCGTTTGACATAAACATTTGCCCAGCGGACAACTGAATGGCCAAGGCCTCTGTTCGGCTCCTTATAAAGAGCCTGCGACACATCGAAGGCTGCAATTTTTGAAATACGCATTGCAGAATTTATGTTATGCGTGCCTCCGTGCCTCGCGAGTCCCGCGGTGACAAAAATACAAAAAGAAAGACGCCAGCCAGCCAGCCAGGCAGCCAGTCAGCCAGTCAGCCAGCCAGCCAGTCAGCCAAGCGGATGCTGTGCTCCGCAGCCACGGAAAGTGTTCAAAGACTTTCGCTGTGCCGGGGAGCAGAGAAGTCTCTGGGACATTAGAAACGAGATGCTGGGGACAAACGAAAAAAGGAGTCTCGAGGAGTCGCCTCCTCGGGAGGCTTTGTCTAAATTTGGATGGCCATGTCAGTGACAGCATTTGACTTGGCAACTTTTCATGTTCATGTTCGCCAACTTGCGCCGAGTTCAAAGCATCAGATTCGAGATAATGTTAAACATTTCCTTTCAAATTGTTTTTGCCCACCATTGCTGCCTGTGTCGTTTTTTGTTGTTCTCGGGGCGACTGCCATTTTGGGATGGGTTGATAGAAAATCAGTAATAATTATGACTAAAAATTATGGTGACTTTTCTTCCAGGCGCAGATGAAGAATGGCATGAAGAAAGTCTCGCTGGCAATTGGTGTTTAGCCATATAAACAAATAAGCGGTGAGTTCGGTAAAAGGATATTCTTTTTTAAGTATTTCAAGCAAATCTGGTCTTTTGGAAAGCAGTATTTCTATAATTTCTTTATAAGCTTCTTACCTCTCAATTGTGAATTGTAAACATAAGTGAATGGTTTAAATTTCTTTATACACAAAAGTTGTTGTATTGTGCAATAGGGCACAATCAACACGCTTTAATTACTCGGCTCGCTTTAATTACTCGGGTTAACCTAGTTTAGGGTGCTCAGATGCTCAAATGCCCAAACATTCCTAAAGTAAAAGCCAGTTTACACCACCCACTCAAGCTGGAGCTCATTTCCCTGGCTGCACTCCGAATGTGGGTGAAATCATGTTAATGAAGTTGTTTACCTGCAATTCATAGCCCTCGTTTCCTCGCCCAATTAGTTTGTCACTTTTACTGCAGGCAGCTCGACTTTGAGTCCGTTTAGCCGGGTTCAGCGCCATTTAGCCAAGGTTCAGTTTCACTTTGGCCAATTTTCCACCTGGTGAGTGTGGCACTCAGTCGATTCGCAGGGGGATCGGGGGAGGAGCTCTAAACGCTGCTCTTGATTGATTTGTATCAACGTTGATTAGGGCAAAACCAACAATCATGGCCGAGGCTTGAGGTTTTGGCCTTGTTAGAGACGCAGTTGAACGAGCGATCGATTGACAATGACAGTGACAGGCAAATTTTGTTTTCCGCAGACCAAACAAAACCAGTTTAAAAAGAAAAGTAATGCGAAATGCGAAATGCAAACGAGTATCTTTCTAATACGTTTATTTACCTTTTATAGCATCTGAAGTTTTGTCTGTGTTACATTTTGTGTGTCTGTGTTCGAATGGGCCTAGCATATATAAGCATTAAGTTAAGTTAAGTTAAGTTAAGTGTTTAAGTATTAGTAGACAGTCAAACCTCTTAAACGAGCAATGGTTGTCAGTTCGAAGCTCGCTTGAGAGGTTTGAATGGTTCGCACTACAACTAAGGAGCTTTACTTTCCGAGTTCCGAGTCTTAAGCTGATAGTATGTCGACGTATTCAGAGTAGTCTTAGCGGTAAGTCTTATAGAGGGGCGCCCAAATGCGCGCGTGTTCAGTTAGGTGTAGGTATAAATATTAAGCTACGGTTCGTTCCCAAGGGGAACCCTTCACAGAGGAGTCCAGCTCTATGGCGGAAAGTCCGGGGAAGGGCGTCCTCCGTCCGTTCTCCATCTCTCGGTCGTACATCTACTAACTAGATTATGAGCGGTGCTAAGTTTTGAGCTAAGTAGAATTTCATGCTAGTTTCTGCCTCTCCACCTGCAGCTCGGTCTTCGATTCGTTTCGTGTCCTGCATCTGGAGCTCCATCTCCATCTCCATCTGCATCTCCATCTCCTCCGCCACCTCCGCCTTCGTCTCAAACCTCTTTAGCTGGCTTGTTAAAAGGCCATTCACTGGCGTTGACGTTCTTACCGCTTGTGTAACGCTCGCTTCTGCATATTGTCCCAGACAGCGATGACCGTCAGCTGGAGCAGCAGGAACAGAGCTCCGGCAATTATGAAGCCTGGATAGAGTTGTAAAAAGAGTTGAGGGGAATTTACGAGCTTATTTAATTAGCTGGGCACTCAGTTGGCAAGTCGGCGAGTCGGCAAGTCGTGGCTGGCTCTGTCAGGGCCTAGATGGCGCGACGGCACGCGATTAACGCAAATCAATTCGCCACGCTCGGCGATACCGATAGATGGAGCCGGACCGACTTGCCACCGTGCTACACATTGAACCCAAGTGATCCCCACTCACCATAGCCATTTATGCAAGTGTCCGCTTTGGTGCCCAGATCCAGTTGCAATTTGGCCAGGCCGTCCAGACCACCGGCCTCCGAGCCTCCCGGAGAATCGGCGCCGTTGAAGGCGAACTTATCGGTGATTTGTATCGATTGCACCAGCAGAATGTTCTCATCGCCGGCCGCCTGATGACTCACATCACGTTTTTGGCGTTCCGACTTAATGGCCAGCTCAACTGTGAAAAGGTAGCAGCGCATCCATCGGGCATAAAGCACAAAACACAAAAAATTGCAGTTGAGCAAAGAGAAGCGGAGAAAAGAGGCAAACAAGAAATGAAATATGTTTTCTGGGAGCTGTGGTGCCACCAAACCAGGGATGGTGTCTAACAGCCGAGCATGGAAGGTGCATAAATCCCGGGGGGCCATATAACTCGGCTTTCCGATTCCACTGAATGACAAAGGTATTGGTGCTAGCAATGAAATGGGCTCTTTTAATGGACTCGCTTCTGAAAATCCATTCGACACAGCCGTAACTTTTTAACCGCAATGATTATATCGATTTCCTCAGTTTACCACGAAACTATTTTAAGGTCAGAGCCATTATAATTAAACGAGTAATGTTTAAAAGCAGATCGGTGATGGGGCAAACATATTTTTTATATGGCTGCCCTAAAAAGTGCCCTATAAATGCAAATAATAAACTTCTATTTGAAGGAATAAAAAAATAATGCAGCTATAAAACTTTTTAAGTCAGTGCCTTGCCCAAACCCACTCACTATCTAAGCTCACTCTGAATAGTTATAAAACCTGCTCGAATGATTCTGCCTTTTTTAAAGCTTCCCCCGAGACTCCCGATCAAGTGGTAAATGCCATACGGCCATCTCCCGAGATTCCACCTTCCGCCACTCTGCAGCCAGAGGTCACTCGGCGGCGTCGGACGTCGCCATCCCTGGTCCGTCTTCTGGCCGCGAAGAACCGTTTACTTACCGCCATCAGTGCCGTTGAGCACCGATCGCTTGCGACGACCGTAGGACAGCAGCGACTTGAGCTCGCCGTTCTCATCGTTGTCGCAGATAACCGGTTCGCAGCGCGGTATGCAGGGCGTGACCAGGGCGCGGAACTGCACCAGCTCCGAGGAGGGGAACTTGAAGGCGTCGAACTGTGAGAGCAGCACCTTGCGATTGCCGGCCAGCTTTTGCATGGCACTCATTATGTACTGGTCCGTGGGACAGCCGTTGGCGTCTATCAGTGTGATTTCGGCGCTGTCCGTCCCGTCCATGGCCACCAGTTCCCTGACGAAGATCTCGTACGGGCTGTTGGCGTCGACGATCTCGAATCGGAGGGCCAGCGGATCCCCGACCTCGGCGATCCTCTTCATGTCGCTGCCGTCACGTGCGGTGATCTTCATGATGACGTTCGGCGAGTCGACGATGATCTCCTCGCTCAGAGTGGACTCGATCTCGCCGGTGACGCCCAGGTCCACGTTGTTGACCACCGTCTTGTTGGTCAGGTCGTACTGGCAGGACACGGCTAATCCGAGATCCGACGAGGTGACGATCATGTCGTGGTGCTGGATGACAATGTCGTTCATGTACCTGCCGTACGCACTCTGGCGCACGTTGCACTCCAGGTCGTTGTAGCGCATCTTGAGGTCGAACTCCAGGGAGTTGTTCACGTTCACGGCGCAGGACTTGGGAGCCCCCTTGGCGTACACCTTGCCGTCGAAGAGCTTCGAGGTGCGGATCTTGGTCACCATCTCGCCGGAGCGGCAGTCGATGGACACGTTGTAGCAGGCCGACTGCTCGTAGGTGGCCGCCTCCTCGATGGAGAGGTACGGCTCCGAGAGGTCCGTCAGCGTGGCCCGGCTGTGGTGGGACAGGCGGCAGACCAGCTCCCCGGTCTCGTTGTAGTCGTACGAGTGGCACCGGAAGGGGGCGGTCAGGCAGAGGTCGCGGCACTCGTCCAGGGTCTGCACGTTCTGGTGCACCGAGTCCACCGTCTTCAGAATGCGGCCCGCTACGCGCTTGAACTCGCACAGCTTGCTGGGCTCCTCGGCGCAGTTGTTCTCCAGGTAGTCGGCGCCATCGTAGGCCGCGATGTTCGCCTCGTCCGACAGCGTAATGCGATCCATGTCCGAGAGCTCGCACAGGCCAGAGTGCGCGTAGTAGTTGGCCGATCTTCGGGTGGGTGCATTGAAAGAAATCAGAGGGAGGTGGCGGATGCGATTGAAATGCTTGCTCTTGGTTGTAGTGAAAGATATAGTTTTAATTCGATATCAAGAGGACTTAACTGTTGATAACCATGATATGCATAAGCACTGAGATTATGTAGGAATTGGAAATAGGCAAGAGTAGTATTGGGTTTTTACCACGAGAATGGCGCACATATCTTCTTCGCGTGTAGCAAAGAGTGCTCTGAGCCAAGTTTGGAGTGCAGTGAGCGGGAGTGAAGAGGTGTGTGCCCCGAGGGGAGCGGAGGTGGTGCTTCAGTTCAAGAGGGTGGCGCTGTTGTAACGGTATCGCGGCACTTACCGGCAGGTGAACTCCGTCTCGCCCAGGCAGAGCTCGATGCAGTCGCGCCGCGTGGCCACACTCTGGCTGGCCTTGGCCCGCTCCGGCAGGCGGTAGCCCTGGACGCGATCGATGCACCAGGCCTTCGAGCAGGGGCGCACTCCGAAGCAGGACTTCTGCGCGTAGACGGTGAACACGGGGTACTGGGAGCGGGACAGCGAACCTGCGGGGCAGAAGATGCCAGCCAGATGGGGCGGCATTCGCTGTGATTAGCGGGAAGCATTTAACATACAAGCTGCGAGCCCAAGATCGTGATGGGGCGGTCGAGAGCCGAGCTGGTGCTCTGCAGCCAGCCTGCGACTACTGGAAAAAATAACTTAATCTGGCCGAAAACCACCCTTTAATGTTTGCGGAATGCATTTGAGCACTGACCCCGTAAAACGCAGCGATAAAACTTCCCTTCTCCTCGCACAAAATAATGAAGTCGCCAGCTGTTTTTATGTGGGAAGCGTTTAGGCCCTGATCCTGGGAACTTTATAGCTCCTATTGCTCATTATTTCTGGTTTTGTTTTTTATTTGGGTGCCGCCGTTAGGATTTAATGTTTCCCAGGAGCCGATCTGCGAGGTCCCCGCTTTTCTCCCGGCGTACTCGACTCACCTGGCAACTGATCGGCGGTGCTGCGGAACATGACACACAGGCCCGTCTCGTAATTAACCGCGTTGCAAGATTCATTGGCCTGGCAGGCCTCCAGGCAGTCGGTCAGCATGAGGGTGCCGGGCAGCGTTTCCAATTGCTTCGATGGCGCCGATAGCACGAACCTGCGATGGAGATGGAGATTAACCGGAAAGCAACGCACATAAATCTGGGTTCTCGGGGCCAGCCCGAGTGGGTGGGATCGCGGCATTATAAATGGGGGAGCAGCCTTTGCGACGTTACGACGTGCTAACAGGCAGTGGTGTGTATAATTTATGCTCCAAAGCTGCTCCGCGCACCAATGCTTTGTCCCCGCTTCATGGCTTTATAGCTCCATGGCTGCATGGCTGCATGGCTTCATAGCAGCTAATGATCGCAATTAGGATCCGCGCTCCCTGGCGGTGACACTTACCCTGTTATGAGCTCGAAGCCGATCATATCCGGTTCGCAGTCCTCGTCCACCGAGGAGCCCGCCGAAGGTGTTGCCATGGGAGTGGGGCCCAGATCATCGGCCTTGGTCTCTGCGGCCGGCGAGGCAGGTGGAGCAGCGCCAGAGGAATCTGCGGAGCCAGCTGGCGATGCGACAATCGCTTCCGCTGGCTCAGCGCCCAACGGTTTCGGTAGCTCGCTTCCGCTCGGCGCCGCTGTCACCGCTCCCGCTGCTGGTCCCGCTGCCAGTGCCGCTGCCGCTGCCGCAGCCGCTGCCGTTGCCGGAATCGGTGTGGCGTTGTTGCGCGGAAATGTCTTCAACGGTTTCACCGCCGGCCGCTTGGGCAGCTTGCGTGCCGCCACCGAGCTGCCCGCCAAGAGCAGCATTAGGCCGAGCAGCGCCATCATGCTTACTCCTCTTGGCTGCCTTGTCATTGACCGTGGATGCATCGCAGACGCCGGTGTTCTGGGGGTGGAAGAAGAAGGTTTTGGCTTTGAGCTTGGCTTTAATTAGCATCCCAGTCTTCCCACCGCCGCGATTATCCCGTGATTAATTGCGCCAGCAGTTACAGTTAAGCTGCAGCCTTAATAATGGGCTCAATGCGGCAAGCGGGCTATCCAGCAGTGCGGCTGCAACTGCAACTGCAACGCCCACCACGGCACGAAGGCACTTGATTAATCGCCGGCAATAGATGCAAAATCAATTTGGCTGATGCTCGTTGTAGCATCCCCGACCCCGAAAAACGGCAGCCGTTCAGATCTAAACGCTGCTCACACGCACGGCTTCTCGGGGAATTAAAATAATGCCACTTGGCCAGGGCGCACGCACAGTCGCCAGTCGAACATTCGCTAGTCCAACAGTCGAACAGTCGCACAGGAAGCCCAAACACAAAAGCCAAGGCCGGGAGAAGCTGCTGGGCTGCAGAGCCAGAAGCACAAGCTGTTAACTGAAATGGTCAGCAGGAATTCTGATTGCCGCTCCGATCACAATGCGATCGATACGGGGGAACACAACAGTTGGATGCTTTATGTCGGATCGTTAGTGGCTTTTGCGGTTCTTTTCAGCCCAGTGCCAGCTGCATGGAAAATGCATTACGTGTAATGTGCGTTAAATCACAGAGAGCGGGCCTCCTATCCACATGCTCCCCACTTGGTTTCCGCACTAATCGAATTCGACTGGACAGGACTGGACTCAAATCGAGTGGAGTGGAGTGGAGTCGGGGCCGAGGCCGAGCTTCGTGAGTGGCTCATAATCAGCGATTATGCAATTGTCTGCCTGCAAATCAATTTCCATGGTCGCTGGTCAATGACACGGACTGCTCAGCGGAGCGAGTCGCGTGCCCCTCGCAGGGAAGCGAACAAAGCGCGGGGAACGCATTCTAATTACCCGACTCCCAGCCGGGGGAAACTACCAGCTACTGGCCCACTCACGTTACAATTTAATGTTGTGGGTCAGCCGACTTAGTGGGCCAATAAACTAATCCGCAGATCCGCCGATCCGCAGATTCGCAGTGGCAAACTAACCGACATGGACATAAATTTCCATTTGGCAAGCGAGTTGCTCCTGCTGCGGACTCCAATCGAATGGAGATTTATATACAAATGCATGCTCGCATCGGGATGTCTGACGATTTATCAGGCAGCTTGGCAACTCGTTTCGAGTTTAGCATTACAGCCAAATTTGACAGTTTGTTTTGGCCGAGCTTTATGGAGTGGTGCTCAGTCCGGGATCTGGTTCATAATTCGGGCTAATCCCACTGCTGTGCAGAGCTGTCAAGGTGCCGATACAGCACTTTTATGACACCAATACGCCAAAAACTAGTTGCCACTTAATTAGAATGGCGAGTGATCGGTTGCAGTGCTGGTCGGAAAAGTGTGCCAGGGAATGACATAACTGCCATCGGAGCTTATCTCAATTGAAACGCTGCTCGGCTCGGTGTAACTGTAAGCAATGTGTGCAAGTCGCCGCAGATGGGGGAAACAACTTGGCCAGAAAAAGCCACTTGGCAACTTGGAACTTCTCGGCCCGGCTGCTATCTTCATTTCATGGCTGGCAATTTGAAAACTGCACCCGCTGGCCATCGATGGCAGAAGGAGTTGGCTTCGCTTTGCTTGGATCGCTCGGATGTGGGTCACCTCGAGTTATTTCTATAGAAATTCTTTTTTGTGGCTGGCAGAAATTTCTCAAAGCTAGCGACAAATCTTCAATTAATGGCCAGTGAAATTTCTCAACTATCAAAAGAGCCACAAAACTAGTTTCCCTTGGCTGCGCTGCATCAAAACTCAACGAAAAAACAAGAAGCATTGGGAAAATCTTGACAAAACTTTTCATTTCAGGCCCCAACCTAACGGCAAATCAACCGCACCAATTCGAAAGCCATTCGAAACCCTAATCTATGCACTATGCAATCCATAAACATGATCTCCGAGCTCACGGAGAGGCCGCTCTAACTGTTGGACGCATTTGGGATCATGATGAACCCGACACTTCTACGGAATATCAATGACGGGGGTCATCGTTTAGCGCGGCTTGTTTCGTAACAGAGCACTGAGTTGTGGAGCACGTAGTGCGGGGATTTGTCAGGCAGAAATTCTTGGACTTGGACTCCAGTGGAGCCAGCGAAAGTCTTACGCGCTTTGACATTCAGGTCTTGGCTGGTCCGAGCCCCAGCTAATTGCCATTAAATGGTCGCATCGAACCGTTTGCTGACCCAAATCACTGGCCACCAGCAGGATTCCCAACGGATTGACAAAGGAGCACATGACTTGACCAGGCCGAAAGTTAATTGCCTGCAGAATTCTGCACATTTGGGAGTTGACGGGTTCTGCGCGCCGTGTTTCCGGCATGCCAGCAAAAATGCCAGCTCCTCGGACTTATCTCGAAACTGGAAACTTGGAAACTGGGAGACTTGGAAACTAATGTGACATCTCCTCGATGCTTCTTGCGCTGACATTCACCCAAGCTTTCTCTAATGATCCATTGACCATTTTCGTTTAATTGATCGACAAGTGGACATCCTGTTCGCCTGACTATTGACACCTTGTCAGGCATTGAATGACAATCGATTCGCTGAACGCGTTTTCAATGTTACCTTAATCACTCGAGAACGTGGCTTGTTTAACCGTTTCGGAACTTCACTTGGGATCGCAGGACACGCACTACGCACACGATTGATCTGTTGTTTTCAGAAGCAAAGCTGTCTGGTTTGTCTTTTTATTGTTTTTGAAAACCGAAACAACGCGAACCGTTCGAGCGACGTCCTCACTGTCGAAAATGGAGCGCCCAACTGCCGCCTATGAGATTTGGCTAAACGTTCTTATGCGAAACTCTTCGAGAAACGCCAGATGCTGGGAGATCGGTTCCGATCGAGTTCGTTAGCTTCTATCACTGGAGCGCTTGCGACCGCCAGTTCGAGCACCTTGACACTGAATGCTCGCTGCGAAGGCCGCGGAAAACGTTTTCAAGCTGGGAAGCCACCGTCGAAGGCCCAAATGCCGCAGACGCCGACGTCGGCAGAAGCAGCAGCGACTAACTCTCTTTCGCCAAGAAGAAAAACCGGTAGAAGACGGAAAGCTAATGGCCAAACAGCCGCTCTTCGCCAGCTCTCTTCTGCGAGCTCTCTTCTCTGCAAGACTTTCTTTAGCCTCAGCTTCAGCTACAGCCACAGCTTTTCTCGGCGAAGGTTCGCAGGTCTGCCTTGGGTTTCTCGTTCTTGTCGGAAGTAATAAAATGCAATTATAACAGTCGAGGCAAATGATTTTCTAATGCGATTGCCTGACACGCAGCAACGGCATTGAATTGCACTGAATAATGCCAAATTGAAGTGCCGCAGCGGGCCATAAAAGAGCAGCAGGTGCACGGATCACTCAGAGAGGAGCTTCGGAGAGTTCCTCTGTGATTTTCTGGAGGGGCGAGCCTCGAGAACCCAACTGCTTTCTAATGACCAAAGTTGTAAGTACCAGAAGAACTACACGAGCATTACCTCAACGCACGGCTAATTAAGTGCGCGATAACAATCGAAGCCAGAGCTAGAAAACGGGGAGTGCGGAATGAGGTCACTGATTGTGGGGGCAGCTCAGTCAAGGCAACCGGGTTTGATATGGCGTTTATGCAACCGCACCACCACCTCTCCACCTCACCACCTCACCACCTTACCACCAGCAACAGCAACAGCAGTAGTGACTGTTGCGCCACGAAGAAAGCGGAGGCTGTCTCGAACTTGTCCGTCACATAATGCAATTAAATATTGAGGCGCAATCATCGAAAGCACAGCGAACTGCACTCGTCGCACTTTTCCCGTCTTTTCACGCATCTCCGCTGCACTGCATCCGATCCCATCCGATCCGATCGATCCATTGTGTTTGGGATTCCGGTTCGATTCTCCTACGACTGTCGCTCTGAGGCCGTAATTGAGGCCTCCCCGAGTCCGATTAACGCCTCTGAGGGAATTATACAATTTTTCCGACAATGAACCACTCCATCCGATCTGATAAAGAAATTACATAAATTGTATCTTTCTGCCCCGCTGCTTCGGAAGAGCTCCGCGAGTTGGGATCGAAATAGGAAGTCTGCAATCGCCATTCGTCATCCGGATTCGGATTCGGGCCTTGACTTCTGAATCGGCGTGTGAGTGAAGAGACTCCCAGTTCCAGCTTCTGCCGATGGCCAGGGACTGATTGGGCTGCCAGAAATAATGCCCTGCGCACCCACTCTTCTGATTAAGTAATTGGAACTGTCCGAGTTTGGCTCTAATTGCTATCGGCTGCCGCCATCACTGCCAAAATAATAAGTGTGCGATTCTTGGGAAGCTGACGTATTTGTATCAGATGTATTTCGAGCGTTGTGGGGCATTCGCAGTTCGAGTGGCGAGTTTGTTGCTCCCTCTTATCAAGGCCAGATTAACTGCGGCGGATGGAGCAGAGATATATCAATACTGGACCGTTGGGAGGAAGTGGACTTAAATAGGCCATCGACGGATTCTGCTGGCTCTGTGGCTGCTTTCTGTGTCGCCGATACTCAAATATCTGTTTGCGTTCTAAGTCCGAGAAACTGTGCCAAGAAAGAGTGCTGAAAGTGACGGAACAAGCTGGGGAGTTCCTCTGATCTCGCCCCGCTGGTCGAGGCTCGTTTGCAGAGCAAACAGAGTTGAGTGACATGCAAATTTCCTTTCGATTTTTCGCACATTTTCTGATTGCCGCGTGGGCTGTTCTGCCCCACCTCCCATTTCCATTTCCCCAGAAAGCCGAGGTCGATCGGGAGCAGGAGCTTATGTTTCCGGCAATCAATCGCAGAAACTAGCAATGCAGCTCGTTTACTCGTCTCGTGTCTCGATTGTTTGCAAATTGATTGCTCTCCACCTCAGATTCGTTTTTACCTGGAAATGCATTCCAAGTTTGCTCATTAGAAGTGGAGCGAATCGTTCACTCTTAAATGCCTTTAGTGGGTTCATCGGAGTGGCTTACTTTCCCTCTGAATGTATGTGCGGAATTTTTGGCGAAATGGAAAGGACTGCGATGGCACGCAGAGATACAGATGTGAGTTATCAATCTCTCAGGGAAGTTTCTCCAGGTTTTCGTTGGTAATCAAGGAAGATCCCCGAAGGAGTTCTTAAGATATCTTAGGGGATTCGGGAAAGGGCCCTAATTGACGATACGAATCGGTCGGCTAATGAAAGTGCCCGACGGCGGCGTGGTGACCCCGATTCAAATCGAAAGGTGAAGAACGAAAGACTTAGGCAACGAACCTGGCGAGTGTGGAATGGTAACGACGTCTCCTCTAATTGCGCCTCCATGTGATTTGTTTTGTTTCACTTTTCAATGGCTCCCTTCGTATCTTTCTAATTGCAGCTTTCTATGCAGAGGAAGGAAAAAGCATTCTATCAGAATTTTCACTCTTAGTAAGTGTCTCGTTTGGCCTGTGCCACTGACTGACTGTCAACGCCTTCGTCTTGGTCTCGGAATTCTCGGTCTTGGCTTAGATGTGGTCTTGGCTTGGTCGGCGGCATAAAACTGTCAACGAGCGTTTAACCCAGTTAACGCCCTAAGCCGACGACAACTTGGTCTGTACTTGTAATTCTACTTCTACTTGTACTTGGACTGACACTACAGCACTCTGCACCCAAGTTGGGATCCATTCGACACGAGACCACGGCCACAAAAACGGGCAAGGTGTAAAAACAACACCAGCTGACTTTCGGGGGTGCGGAAGTGGGGATTGCGGATTGGGGATTGGGGATCGCCAAAGATAAGAGAGGCCTCAGACTGACTGCAGTTGAAGTTGAGTGATGGCTCCACCTCGCAAGAAGGGGCGGTGGGCGGTGCGGAGGTGTTGATTGTGGCCAGCGGATATTGGCGCTCGCAGGAGGAGTACGAAGGGGCGCGGGGGAGGAGATCCGAGATTGACCGACGTCTGGCTGTGGTTCTGGTTCCCCAGCTTCCAAGCGAAGCCCACTGCTCAAAGGAATTCTGAGCGCGGTGAAAGTTGCCATCCCATCTCCTCCCCTCCACCTTGCTGGAACCTCTGTTTGCATCAGAAGACACGACAACGGCAGCGACTTGTTGAAATTCTGGTCCCAATAATGACACTTAAGCGATGCAGTTTTTTCGTAATATGAATTTTCCTGTTTGCGTCGCTCGTCGCCTCCCACTCTCCTCCCCGTCATCAATTACAGCCGCGAACGGAGGCCCGGGATGCAGGGCGGGTTGGCAGTTGGGTCCACCTGAGCTGCAACTCAATCACCGGGCAGCATTCAACTGCCATCGGCGGCTTCTGCTTCTAATTGCCGCACTTTTTGCTCCTGCTTAGCGCGACCAGAGTTGGATTCGGATGCCATGGGTTGGGGGGTTCCAGGGGCTTCGGTGAGTTATGGGCACGCAGAGGTGGCTTCGGCTGGAGCAATTCGACTGTTGCCTCCTTTTGGAGAGCGATTGGAAAGCATTTCTCCTTCTTTGGCTCTCCGAGCGAGAGGATTCCCACTGAACTCTTACGTGTGTGGAGCTAGGCAAATTGCCGGTTTCATATTCCCATCATTAATTCCCGCGCTGATGAATCCGGACACACGAATAGGTGAGCAGGGTGATGCGATCTCCTGCCATCGAGGCTTCCACATTTAATTTACAATCCCGGAGCCTGCGATTAGCAACGACATTGCAGCGAGTTATGGGGATCCAGATGGAGATTGCCATGCGGAAGGGGGTGGGATGGGATGCAATGATGGCCATTCTCCCAATATTTGCTCTGGGCGTTGGCACACCAGCTCGCCAAGTCGCCAACTCGCGGCTTCCTCTGCCGAGCTGGGCCCAAATGCAGTTGTCTCTGGAGTAGATGGGTTCCTGTTCGGATTCGGATTCGGTCGCTGCAAACGAAGCAAATGAAGGGGTGTGCCTGGCCGCGGATGGGGAGTAGGGCGGAGGTGGGGAGGAGCAGCTGGGCTCCGAGGAGGCAGCACGAGGCGTGCGACATGCAACACAAGCCAATCAAGGCAACTGTCAATGGAGGCAACACCTGTTTCTGCAGCACTTCCTCCACCTGCAGCGCACAGCGACCTTGAGTCGGAGGAGTCGGAGGAGTCGGCTCCTACTGGAGCTGCTGCTGGAGATGAGTTGATAAACTGCCTGGGCGAGACTCGCATCTTGCGGGTGTGCGAACCGGTAAACTGGAGCCATTCCATCAACTTCCACCGCGCGGCACTTGACAAAGCAAACAGATGACGGGCCCTCCCCTCGGCTCCACTTGGGATCCGAGGTGATCCCTGCTGCGGAGATCCGCCCCTGCGCTCCCAATATTTTCCATTTATATTCTCATCAATTTGCACCAATTTTCACATGCCAGAAGGCAGAGGAGTGGACCTCGGAGTTCGGCTGCCATTTGCAGCTACACAAAAGGGGCATCGCCTCGGAAATTTATGACCGCTTCGCCTGCTGCATGCACCATGCACCATGCACCGCAAAGTGGAACGGAGCCACAGTCACCACTGCCAACCACCAACCACCCATCCAACCCACCAGAACTGGCATCCCGACCCGAAACTGTTACACTTGGCTAATTGATTTATGAGAGCGGGCTTCCAAAATATTTGCAATACAAACGCGAGCTAAGTGCGCTTTTTATGGCAGGAATATTCTGCAAGTGGGTGGGTTGCCAATGAAAACTGGGAGAAAGCCGCGGGGGAATCGTGGCGAACATGTCGCATGGAAGGAACAAGTTCCCGAGTGTTTCCCACAGCCACAGGAAGTGTTCGCTGCCGAACGCATGCCAAAAATGGATCCCCGAGGACAAGACAACCTTGGACTTGGACGACCAAAGCGATTCCGATCCCGAACCCAAACCCAAACTCAAACCCAAACGCAAAGCAAACGCGATACCAAAACGATCACGATTATGATGATCATTGCGGCGATTGCGCGAATGGTCCATCGAGTGGGCAAAGTCAGGTTGGTGGGATGGTGGTTGGG